GCAGGTCAGACGGTTGAGTCATCTGCTCCGGGTTTGGTCCCAAAAGAAAACCCTACATTTTTCCACTGCCTTATGGGTCAGACGTTTGAGTCAGAGGCTGCGGTCAGGGTCCCCGAACGAAATCCTGCATCCTCCCACTGCCTTGTGGGTCAGACTTTTGAGCCGAAGGCTCAAGGTGTGGTACCTCGACCCCAATTCTTCCGCCTGGACAACCGGGAAGTATCATTTGTCCGCGCAGTTCTGTGTCCACCGCTGCCTCTCCCCAACCCCTTCCCATCACACAAGCAAACGTCGCTGCGTCATTTGACTGTCAGTTATCTGGCCGAAGGACCTTATGCTCCTCACTGTCTATTAACAATGAACAAAATAAAACCTTTCTAAGTCCACGAGATCCTTTCTATATAGGAGCTTTTAACGACCGTACTATATGTCAATTTGGCAAACAGGCTATGCTTGCTGAAACCTTGTGCTCCCTTAAAATTGATATATGCTGTGTCTCCGAAACACGCATACAAGACCCGAGCGTGGTCATGCATCTCAGAACGCCAAAGATGAACTCAGCTCTTTTACAATTCTCCCTCCGTGTGTCCGATGACTCGTGGAATATATGGCGTGGGAGGCGCACTCAACCCCAGAGCTGAACGCGTTTTACCGGATTGGATCCCAGTCAACAGTCGTCTCTGCGCCGACCGATTATCCAGTCCAATCAAGCTCGATGCTTCTCGGCATAAAGAGCGGTCCCTGCTTGTCGTGTCCGCTTATGTTCCAACGGTCTGCAGTTCTGATGCGGAGAAGGATACCTTCTATCGAGAGCTATCCATGCTTGTTCACCAGGCAAAAAGCATCGACATTTTGATCCTCACAGGTGACTTGAATGCTCAAGTAGGTCGTCTGAGATCCTTGGATTCACATGTGGGTAATCGATTCGGAGTCGATGCTCGCCGTACAGACAAAGGAGATCGACTACTTTAGTTGTGTGCTGATCACGAGCTGTTTCTGGCGAGTACGACCTTTCTACACAAACGTTCGCACCGTGAGACCCGGCGGCCTCTAAATACAAAACAACCGTGGACCCAGTTGGACCACGTGGCCATCAGCCACCGATGGAAAGCCACAATTCAAGACTGCTGTTCTTTCTGGGGCACACCACTTGACTCCGATCACGCCGTGGTGCGCGCAAGCTTGACAGTTCGTTTCCCTTCAGACCATTGCAAGTCGGCAAGAAACGTGCCAATCCACTGTCTTCGAAGAATTACCGTAGCTCAACAGTATCAATCTGAGCTAGCCAAACAACTTTCCACAGTAAAACAATACTGTGGCGGCAGTGAGCATGTGGATGAAGCGTGGCACAATGTGAAAGGAGCTATGCTAGCGGCGTTCAGTGCTGCCTGCCCGACTTCTCCAATTCGACCACAGGTCCACTGGATGCCGTCGAGGTCGTTATCCATGATTGATGCCAGGAAAGCCATACCAGCAGGCAACGAGTACGACGGCGCACGCAAATTCCTCAAACGCCAAATAGTGAAGAGTGTAAGGAAAGACCGAGAGCTCTGGTGGACATCGAAAGCTCGGGAGATGGAGGAGGCTTTTGCTGTGGGAGACAGCCATGCCCACTGCCATGCCACCGGATACGATCGACTGGTCCAAGAAAAGCAACGGTCAATGAAACGATAAGTAAAAAAGATGGCTCAATACTTCATTCACAAAGACGTCCACTGGAGAGATGGCCCGAACACTTCGAAGAGCAGTTCATCTGGCCTCCTGCAACACAGCCTGTGGAGATGATGCATACGGGCGAATGGAATGTAGACCTTGGTCGCCCTTCAGAAGAAATAAGGTACGAAATATCCGTACTGATACTTGAGAAAGCACCAGGACCGAACGGTCTGCATCCAGCCCTCTTCAAAGAAATCGGAAAATCCCTGGTGACCCACCTGGCAAAGCTTATTGGTGCTATATGGGACGAAGAGAAAGCGTCTGCAGAATGAGGCATGTGGACGGTTATCTAGATCTTCAAAAGAGATACGCGAACGCTTTGTGAAAACCACCGTGGTATCGGCCTGTTAGCTGTCGCATCAAAGGTACTCTGTGGCTTTATCTTTCGAAGGTTGATTGAACATAGAGAGAGGCAGATCCGTGAAAACCAAGCTGGCTTCCGTCCTGCAAGAGGTTCCGTCGATCATATCCTCACCCTCCAACAGGTTCTTGAACAGCGACACTGCTTCCAGCAACCAACATGATCGTTTTTCTCGATCTGAAAGCTGCCTCTGATTTTGTCGACCGCCAAGCATTATGACAGTGTCTGTGGAGCAAATGCGTCACCCACGAATTCTCGACCCTCAATAGGGTGCTGTACGCCAACTCCCGCGGCCACGTAAAGGTCTACGGTAAGCTCTCTCCTGAGTTCACCACATCAAGTGGTGTCCGACAGGGCTGTTTTCTTTCACCTTTCCTCATCAACTTCGTCGTTGATACGATCATGGTAGACTCACTACCAGCCTCTAATGCCTGTGGGGTCGAAGTGCTCCCTGGGCCTCCGCTCAAAGACATCGAATACGCAGACGACATAGTTCTTCTGGGATCTGACCCCGTGGTAATGCACACAATATTAAATAATCTAAATAATTATGCCTCCAGGGTCGGCATGCGCTTCACACCTGCAAAGTGTAAAGTGCTACTGCAAGACTGGGTGGGCTCGAACCCTAGCCTCATGCTTGCGGATGAACCGATTGAGGTAGTAGACAAATTTGTCTACCTGGGCAGCTGTATCAGTCCCGGTGGTCTCGCGAAAGATGATATTTCCATCCGGATTGGGAAGGCCAGAGCAGCTTTTGCGAACCTACGTCACCTGTGGCGTAGGCGTGACATCAGTTTCTCTGTCAAGGGTCGAGTTTACAATGCTGCGGTGCGCTCCATATTACTATATGGATCAGAAACCTGGCCGCTGCGCGCCGAGGACGTCAAAAGACTTTCAGTGTTTGACCATCGATGTCTTCGGAGCATTGCCCGAATCTGGTGGGAACACCGGATCAGCAATTCTGAAGTACGTCGAATGGTATTCGGGAGAAATAACTCACCCTCGATAGATGAACTTATCACACTGCACAGGTTGCGCTGGCTTGGCCACGTGCCGCGTATGCCAGTCGACCGACTTCCTCTTTTCGCCCAACCATGTGGAGGTTGAGAGATAGCCAGGGGCAGTCAAACACGGACTTGGCAGCGAAGTATGAAAGCCATTACCAGCAAACTCAGCTCCGCTGGTCACTGCCGTCTTTCTGGATGGGGACCCCGAGACGGGCCACATCAATGGCTAGAGACATTGTCAGACATATCCCAGTTGCGCCTTCAATGGCGCTCGTGCATCCAAGCTATTGCTTTTAATGCATAACTCCTTTTTCGACCCTCCTACTTGTCAGTCTACTGACAGTGCTGGGTTTATGCACCAAGTTTATCAGCTCCTGCCTTCAATGCACAGCTTCCTGCCCCCGTCACAAATCATCGGTGAACGAAACTGCGGCAGCTACAACCACTGTACGGCGAGTACGCGGTTATTACAGCTGAAAATGTTGCTGCTGATGTAGCATATATTCCGGGCATCACCTATGTGAATAAAAAACTCATTATAAGGAGGGAAAAAACACCAACGGAGACTCACTAAATACATGCGGTATGAAACTTCAGAGGCAGCTAGTTTTGATAAGCCCTCACCGTTTTTCTTTTATGACTACGCAATTCTGAGGTCCCTCATCGCGCAAACACGCTACACCTCCAGATATCCCAGTTGTTCTCAGATCTCTTGGCCATAAGCATTCTGTACTACCTTAATCGTGCACAGTTTAGCCAATGCACGTCCTCATTACCACATATACCCACACCCGTTCACATCAACTGCACTCCCACAATCTCCACCCGAATATCGGTTACTGTGTTCGTATTCGGGAGGTGTGGCCTCACTGCAGCAGGCTGAAATTGTGGCCCCTTTGGGATGCCTGCTCCTTGAAACTGAAGTCTACTTCATACCACAGAGCCATCTAGGGGACATTTTGACGCTTTATTATACTTCGTGCCCCCAATGTAGACACGCTGCATTTGTTGCCCATTCTGAGTGGCAGCAACCAACTACCGAGCGTCTTTGGTGGGCCAAAAAGTTATTCTTGATCGTCTTAATTTGACGCCTTGCTCTGTTCAGTTCTAACTATGGTGACCACACCGACCGACCCACACAAAACACTCACTTACGGGGCTGCCCATGAACCCAATCATGACTTCGCGATGAGAGTAGCGCGACTACCATACCCAGTCTGATGGCTTGCTCGTATCCCTAATATTCTCCGACTGAGCCTTGCATACACCCACATAACCATCCTAATCTTCGAATCTGTGCAAGAACTTCGTAACACTGGCCATTCTATTGTACTGTTAGCTTGCTTTGCCCATTAAGCCGCCAAAACTACCTACAGCACTGTCAAGCGGAGAAAGACGGTATAATTATTGTTCATGCAGCCCTGAAATTATCTCCAAATTCGATATAGAGAGAAACACTCGATGAAAACAGCCCTTCCGAGAAATGTCCAACCGTATTCACGGTTGAATTTTGCGAAGCCGCCGACGGTCATTAAAATATGAATTCAGCGCCCATAGTGGACCTCTAGTACGTTAAGCAACTACCAACAACTTGCTGCCGCATTAGGGGTTTTGTTTGGCTTGAATAAATACCAACAAATGCTGAAACTTTATGTTAACTATTCCTTCGTTCAAAATATGTTTTCAGAGAAATTTGGGGTGTGCATCTGAGGCTCGGCTCGAAGGTGGAGCCCAAAGCAAGTGCTTCAAACTAACCGCTGGTTCAGAATAATACATCTTTTCAGAGTTGTTGAAGATCCCTTCAGAATTTTTCAGACCTCCATTTCTCGCAAAATACCAATGAAATTTTCTGTCCTCATCTTCTGAAGAATCCTGAACTTGAACCCAGTCTTTGTTTGCATCAGTATCAGTCACAGCCCGGGTGTTCTAGGTCTGTCCGGAAGCTGCCCTCTAGGCTGGAAGGATGGCTTTGAAGCGTATCAATAAGGTGCGTGAACCATTCAGATTCATGAAATATAAAATCAAATGAACTGTAGGAACTTCAGGACCTTGGTCGCGATCCTCCTTCTCAATGTTCCGCAGGGCCAGTTGATGATGATCGTAGGTATACTTTACAGTTTTACATCACATCCATCTAGTCTTTACATGGCAAGCAACAATCATGGGGCCAGTAAGATGCTTAAAGATTTTTCAATTCTTTTAGTCCGATAGTGCTTATGAGGGCGGCGTTTTTTTTCTGAAGATTGTGTTCCCTACAGATTATCCGTTCAAGCCCCCGAAGGTAATGTAAGAGAAATTGAGATTACCGTTGCAGGTGAGCTTCAACACGAAGATTTATCACCCCAACATTAACGGGAACGGAAGCATATGCTTAGATATACTTCGTAGCCAATGGTCCCCGGCCCTAACTATATCGAAAGGTGCGTGTCAACTCTAACTTTCCACATGTTCTTGCAGTTTTGCTCTCCATCTGTTCGCTGCTCACGGATCCTAACCCGGATGATCCCCTCTGTCCAGATATCGCACGTCAGTATAAGAGTGATCGGAAAAGGTATGAGGAAATTGCACGAGAGTGGACGCAGAAATACGCCATGTGACCCACCCGTTACTTTCCCTTTCGCGGAAACTGCATTTCCACTCCGTTTGCACTCTCGAAGCCTTGTGCGTCACTTTCATTATTGGTCAGTTTGTTGTAATCACGTGCGAATGAGCTTCTCAAACTCAGTCCATATGGCTGCTGACTTCGTTTTTGGGCTTTTTCGCCTTTTAGTGAAGCCTAACAAATTGTCCAGTGTCTGTTCATTCTAGGCCGATTATTGTCTTGTGTGGCTGATCTGTGTCTTGCTTTTGGGCCTACTGCGACCTACAGATTACCACACTTGTGAACATAATCCAGTGGGGATCGCTTCGATTTGGTTTCCGCAGGATGTCCATTGTACTTCTATTTAGTGGACTATGTTCATCTCTTCGATCACCAGGTGTTTACCGTTTTTGTTTCATTCTGCTATCACTACGCCACTCGACTTTCATTTGTCCTAATGTTGATCGCCTCAGTGTTCGTGGGAATATGAGTGTAAATAAGTGTGCTGTCTGCAAGTAAAGTGCCTGTTCGGTCGTGGTCAACGATCACCTCGTGCGTGAACTGTGTCTAGATCTAAGTGTTCGAGACAAGTGTGGCATGTACTATCCTGTGCTTCCGACAGCATCCCTGCACACGTTCGGCGTTCTGATTCTAGGTAAAATAATTCACGCTGATTTCATTTGGTTGGTTTACTGTGGCCCTACTTTGAGCCCGTTGTGGGGTGCCAGGAGACCTTGTATTGACGCTCCATCTTCATTGTAACGCTTCTAGTAAGTTTCCGCGTTAATACTGGTGTATGTAACTTGAGAGCTGATGCTTAGGAGTAGGTCCTTTGTTTGATGTCGCCAGCTAAAGAAGAATATGTTGCTGTGCAAATATCCCGAAGTATACACATACGCAGTACCTTGTGCCGTTAATTTTCTCAGGTAATACGTACAATGATCGCGAGGAGGGGCAACTTCTGAATGCTGCTAACATGATGCTAACAGTAGGTCCTGTCCGCCTTTACCGATGGTTTTCTCATCCATCGTTGGACACGCATGCCACCAGGCTTTATGCTAGGGGACGAGATGTCTCAGTGGTTAGGGCGCGAATCTACTGACCGAACGGTCCGGGGTTGCAACCCGACCTCTGCATCTCGACCTCCACTGTCTGGGCTTGAGCAACTGACAGTATCTCAGCCCTCGCGCTTTCGGATGGTTTGGCAGCTACAGCTGAACGATTCGTTACTGTGTGCTGGATAAGGTGTGACAAGAGCATTTGGTTTGTGCCGCTATCTGTCTCTTTTCGTACTAACGGTTGAAGAAGGTGAAGATTGAATCCGCACTCCTGGGGTGTTAGAAATAGCCAGCTTATCTATGACGGGCGGCGGTGCTCGTCAAGTCTTCATGTTCATTCTCAGTCAACCAGTGTCGATTTTTCTACTGTTGTTAGAAAGTGCTTCCCAGCATTTTCCGATTTCCGGGAAACCCATTTTCGGTCTGTAACTGTTCGTCTGGTTCTGTCGCTACCGAGTTGAGTTATCTGCTCGCTTGCGCAATGCACACTGGATGTTCCAGCTTTGCTCTCTTGTTTATGGGCAGCAACTAGCCCTGAGGTTAAGACGCAACAGCTCACTGGATTCATGTGTTTTCCTAGACATGTGTGTTGAGCTGTACAGAATTCGGGTTCATTGACAGACATTCCAGTGGTATGTTTTGTGCCATATCTAGTCATTTGGTTACTTGGTGCACACTGAGTGCAATGGATTTGCAATATGCAGTTGTGGTAGCTCTTGGCGATGATTCTCATTTTACGTTGAATGGGGCCTTTCACATTACACTCGTGTGGCGGCTTCAGGCCCTTTTGTCATTTCCTGTTATCACAGGATAGTCTGAAGTAGACTCCGCGGCAGATCTCTGAGGCTTGCGTGATTGATCAGGCTATTGTGCCGGGGTTTTTGGTTGAATATGGGATCCTGAAACCCGTAGGTTGCAGAGCGCAACTCAAGAGAATCCATGCCGTTTTGTTAGCTTCTTGCCTCCCTTTGGGACCGAATTGGTGGCCCGGTCCTTGCAACCTCTGGTCCGCTTCAACCCCAAATGCTATACTCAATGTCTACTCAACTCGTGGTCTGGTAGCAATTCGAATGAGAAGCCCTGTGGCCAGAAAGCGTGTTGAAAGAGGCCGGGATCCCCTTGGTATTGTCAACTGCATTTGGTGGCTGATGGTGTTGCATGAGTTCTTTGGGTCTCTATCCTTTCTAACTACAAACGAGTTGAAGTGTGTGCAGGTAGGAAGTTTAAGATCGGAATAGTATATATAGTCTATTTCACGGTTATGTGGTCGATGGTTTGCCATCCATCAGTTGATTACTGTCTGTCTTCTCATAGTTTGTCGGAGTGGAAGGGTGCACGGATCTTCGGTACGATCTATGTAGGATGATAGGGGGTCAGTCAAGACATCGATGAAGGTGAGAGGTCCTAGTAGCAGTTCTTGTGTTACTCTGTTTGTTTGAAGACCCACAAGGTATTCCCATGAACAATATCGCTTTGGCTGTTGTACGAGGAAACTGCCGGCTTTATTGCGGAGGACTTTCGCAGAGGTGTTCGGTACCCTACATGCTTAAGGGCATGGGAGAAGTCAGGGTGGATTACACGATCTTGAGACCTTCATCAGGGCCTTAAACTCGCGTCTCCCTTTTTATCAGATGCGTTGAACAGAACCTTTGTTACCGACATTCGTACTGCACAACTGGTAGCAGACTGTGGCGTTCAAAGTATGCTCCTAAGTTATCGCCTACCATTTACACCGAGGCCTTAAGGAATACGAAGTAGGGTGATTAGCTTGCGCTTTGTGGAATCTGAATTTTTAACTGATTCCAAGCGGTTCATCAAAATATTTCAGGTGGATTACGCTAGTAGATAAAAAAGAAAGAAAGCGTTCAGCTGTAGCACCCTTCCCGTGCCTAGCTGCCATGCCACCCGAAGGGAGCACGAGGGCTGGGATACTGCCAGGTTGCCCAAGCCTAGACAGGGATGCTAATAGATAACGGTTTCACTTAGTCTTGCGGGTTCTATGACTGGTGCTGGTGGCGTTTTCTGGAAGGGTTTTGCCTATATTCAACCGCACCGGTTGGCTTACATCATATAGGCCCCTCAGAATGAATGTATTAGAGACTAAACAGCGCAACACTGTATTGTACTGTACTTTAAGAATGGAGCCGCACTGCACCGGTAGAGCTCCGCCTTCAGTGTACGTGTTGTGAACACTTCAGGTATTGATTGGAGGAATGTTTCACCCGAGGTGGTTGAACATTTGCTTTTGGTTTGTCTCGGTTTTGGCCACTATCGGAGCCTGGTGGCCAGTCACCCTTTTTTGTCATCGGAACGCAGAAATTCTTCGATTATCTGTAAGGTCTTGAGGACTGCTCTCGGTCTAGCGTCAGCCTTCCATTCTAGCGATCCATTAGCCCTGCTTCCGTCACGGTTTTGTAGCTTGATGTGGATGGAGGCCGACTGGTTGATTGTTCAGTCGATATTTTCCGCACCACTGCGAAATTCCTCTTTTTGGTTAGCACTAAGTACTGCAAGGCAGGTAAAGTGTCATGAGGGGGGGGGTTGGCTTCTTAAATAAGTTACGTGAAAAGCCTTTGTTCGCTGCAACTCAATAGGTTCCAGTTGTCACGGCTTGATCGTGAGGTCCTAGTTATCACGTACGGTGGAGAAGTCACGGGACATTGGGATCCCGGTAGTGAGTTGGTTGTTTATCGTGGTTGTAAAGTACACTTGAACAGAAACAGTGACGAATGGGGTGTTGAAGTCTCCCACTATGAAATGATGTGATTGTCTAAAACGTGAGACCGAGAGTTACAATATCGGCTTCTTCAGACATTCATTCAACACTAACTGATGGCTGAACCGATTCACTCAGTGTTCGCCTCTGTTCCTATTTTTCGGATCACAACTTGCTCATGTTTTCCTAAGTGGATGCCAACTTTAGTTCGCATGGCCTGGTTTATCTGCAATTCTGCTTCCTAACGGGGGCACCTAATCCAGTCAACGAGATGTTTTTCACTTCATCGGATATATGCGGTATCTGTCAACCAGACTGGAGCTGCTCCAGTCTACTACGGGGTTGTAGAACCCCGTAGTTCTTGTGTCATAGATATTGCTGGAGTTGAAGACTAGCTGACACCAGCGGCTTTTTTCTGTCAGTCGCTTTTTGCTAGTTGATATGCGTTTCGTTTTGTGGGCACCTCCGAGTGGTTACCCATCCCCGTACTGCAGTGATGAGTCATTGTTAACAGTGGCGTTGCTATCTATGCGGTGTCAGAGGACTACATCATACAACGCTCCTCCTGGTTGAGTCTGCCATCATGCATCTCCACGAACGGCATACCTGTATCCGAAAGCCAGTTTTAACAGTTCGTACTGTTCTGTGGTTCAAGAGCTCATGATTGCGCTTAATTTGAGTGCCTCGCCTTTCAATATATGATATTAATTCCGTAGCAGTGTTCTGTACAAAGTGCTCGGGCGTTTCGCGGCATACACACTTCTGAGGATTCTCGTGGTCGTTCAACTGTATCACCGACCTCTCGACTTCCTCTGTCTAGGCTTGAGCAAGCTGGCAGTATCCCAGCCGTGGTGCTTCCATCTGGTGGCATAGCAGCTAGGCGCCGAGAGAGTGCTACAGCTGAACTATTGATCACCTTTCGGCGCATGTCTGTCACACAATCCGAAGGGAGCACAAGGATTGAGGTGCTGTCAGCTTACCTAAACTTAGAGGGGAACAATAGTGACGCAGAGGGGTCTGGACGAGCGCACCGTATCCCGTCATGGGATCAGAACCGAAACATTTGACATATTTACTCATTTAAGATTTTACCTCACATCGAATCACAGCATCGCTGATGAAGTGGAGGTTGGGATCGCTAGAGCCCGTTATGATTTGCTACAAGTTGAGCATCTCAGGTGATCGAGATGCTGGCTTGTCTGTGAAAGGCTGGCCATACCGCGCTTTACGCCTGTGAAGCCTCGCTGGAGTAAATAGTGCTTGATTTTGATCATTGCATCACAGGAACATGCGATTAAAGTGTTGAAGTTTGACGAACGGACTTTAGTAACAGATCAGCTGCTTGTTCAGTTGATACATCAACTATGCTGACTCGCCTGTGTGCTTGGTATACCAGATGGTCGATTCTCTCCCCGTGCTCTGTTAGCTGGGGCTGGTTCTGATGAAAGATACCACAAGGCTGTCAGCATAACCTAGAGCTTGGTTTCTCATGGTTCGTCTAAGGCCCCACTATTTCAATGGTTGGAAATGCCATGCAACCAGGGGCGGTGTTGTGTCCATTCTCGTTTTCCTAATCTTCAGTCAGGTGTTCTTTACTATTTTTTGGAAAGTTTTCCTAAACGTCTTCTACCTTCTGATGATTTTCACGACGTTGAAAGTAAAAAAACTGCCAGGACAGGGATTTAGAAATTCTAGTCTCAAGTTAGCTGACGCGTATTTGCCTTGATCTAGGCATATAAACGCCCACCGTATGTTCATATGGTAATGGCTTTGTTGTTCAAACGATGTCAAGTAAGGGCAAGCTGCTGTGCAAGAAAGTCTGGGTTTAGCTTCATCCTCCTATTAAGATTCGCACTCATTGGTTATGCAGATGCAGCCTTTGAAGCGACGCATATAATTCACAGATGTTCAATCCTCGCTCTATGTACTAGGTGCTGGTGTCCTCGGCTTCGATCGATAAACGTCTAGTTTGATATTATAGCTCTCATAGATCATTGATGATATGTCCTTACGATTATAGAATGAACTTGTATCATGATCAGATCGGCATTTATTTCATTTATACCTCGTTTCGGTCCATGTATTCGATATTTATGTCCAGAAAGCATACACGTCGCTCGTGCCTGTGGTTTGATATGTCGGATGGCTCAGTCTACCTGGATACCTACATAGACTTACGGTCGACTCTGTAGGATGTACAAGCTCGTTTGTAGGCCTTACAACAAAGTGCGCCTAATCAAACGCAGCATTCCGCTCTGTCGATTTGAAATGGTCAATGATTCGTTTATGTTTCCGACTGCGTAGTTGTCTCGTGATATATTACCGTATGTTGTATTTATTACTATGTATATTACTGGGAATCAACACAATCTACGTAAGTGGTGCGCAACCCAACACTTCGCCTGGTACAGAAAACACACACACACCTAAATTCTGGGGTCACTGATACCGATGTTGACAGAAATCCTGCCTCAAGTCTTCCATACGGTAGGGGTGGATCGTTACTAGCACATTAAAAAAATCCTCCTGTAACAGAACTCAAAGGGTATAAGTTCGGAAAACTCCATCGAGGTGAATCACGTGTAACTCGCCATCATTTCATTGTCAGCAGCACCGAACGAGAGCCCGGGTGCCCATCGCCGTGTAACCTTGTCAATTCAGTTGAATAAAGCCCTACAATGGGAAGAAGAAAGATGAGAAATGGAAGAGAATCTAAGGCTGGCGTAACGTAAACATCCGAGTTGTCTACACCTGCAACGCTCAGACAGCCAGTCGGGGGTAAAGGCCGACGATATGAACGCAGCTGATATCGGTTAGCTGCCATTTATTTCATTGTCTCCCAAGCACTGTGGGGCTACATGAACTCCATCCAGTACCCAAATTTTTCGACCCCCTTCTGCTGTGCTGTACTTTATTCACCCATAGGTTTCTGGCACTACGAATTAGGTATGGGAAACAACGCTCTTCTCGATGGACCGTAATTCGGTATACCGCAGCCACCTTGTAGTATTGGATGCATTTCTTAAGTGAAGTGCTCTCTGTCTCACTAAAGACCCTTTTCCTTATCGTGCCATTGCCAGTTCCCAGACTCCAGCAGGTTTAGTTCTGAGACATCGGTCAAAGACCTGGAAATTCCTCAGACCCTACGTCCGAGGTGGCCAAGTTTCGCTGCCGTACAACAGCCGGAATTGTAGTCCGGTGCACGCGAGGTTTCCTCTCGGGTACATGCAATCTGGCAGCTTTTAGATTATTCATGGCTCTCCCCCATTACGTCGATGGCGAAGCTAACCAACAATAGGTTAGGCACCCTTGTTTGTAAAAAGCCTGTGGAGAGCTCATGCTCCCACAAGTATGTAAATACAACGTGTCTGTGATATTTTCGAGATTCTGGGTCATTCTATTGCAAGGCGTTTGAGACAACCGAAAATACGTCGAGGAAACCAAGATTGTAGGGAGCTTGTACACGTGCCAGTGTGAACATGTAGCCCACACGATCGCTTCTGGACCCGAACCCTGTTTGCTGTTCTTGAGCCATGTCTTGAGCGACACAGAGTTTACTTACATAAGGTCAGGCTAATTCCTCCGGGCTCACCACATTCATTATGGACGAACACTTTTAAAAGTTGACATTAATGTCGGCTATCATCAGTCAATTGGGAAGACCTATTTCACCCAGATAGAACCGAATACGTAGGAGAACTTCCATCTTTAAACCAAGTGAGTGGGAGTTCATCATTACCACTAACCCGATGATGCTTTACGGACAAAAGGCATTCGTTTCCTGTCCACGACTGCGTTGCGGGTAGGTAACCCGGCTTAGTAACCGCAGGCGGTCGGTTGAAGTGTCGCTGAAAGTGGTCAAACCCGCGACTCGTGCGCTTTCCTTTTTTGGTGATAGACTATCCGTCAGTATCAGTGGTTGTTTCGCTCACCGAATGTCTCGGGCTAGCTGCATGCAGTAGTTGGAACAGTTTACGCACATCCCCGGAGTTTCTCGTTTCCCTTCTTTCAGCCTTCTGGACCTTCTAAGCTTTTCGATCAACACGCTCTTTTTTATCTGACAACTCACCAAGGTGTATTGTACTCTGGACCAGACGACACGTGTCCTAGCCTTAAGCAAATCGAGGTTGATTGCTTATTTCTAGTTGGCTGCGCTGTTCCGTAAACGGAACACCCTGCAGGGTTATGGTTAGTGCATTCCAATAAGGGTCGACATCAGAATGCCTGTTTTCCAAAAGGGACCTCAGCAGATAATTT